CTGATGATGACAAAACCTTGTCGAAACATTGTACATTTGCTATTATGTTAAACTTATATTAAAGTTTTTCTTCATTACCCATTCAAGCTATCTCCAAGCATTATTAATAGGATACATAGCTTATATATCAAGATACAACAATAAAATTGCAAAATTATGATTAGATTTTTAATGTATCACAGTTATTCACCTGCAAATGATAAAAGACTGATCTATACAGGATCAAAGGACTTTGAATTTCATGTACTTGATTATCACCTTTAATTACATGACCTTCACTGCTTGTTACACCTACAAATTGCATACTGGGATATACAACGTGCAATTTATGATCACGTACAGGATCATAGCTGTATGTAACTAGATAAAGAACTAGTTCAGGTGAAACAGCTGTTCTGCTACTAAATTCAAAGCTTATCAAACATGGCAGGTTGACAACTGGATGTTGTGGTTGTGAACCCAAAACAGGAGGTCAAGAACATGAAAGCTTGCAAATATTTCACTTTGGATAATAAAAGAAATAACAGTGAATTAATGGATCATAAAATATTGTCCAGGTAAATGTGACAGATGATGACAGACCCAATGAACTGTAAGCATATAAAGAATATTAATGTGGAAAAGCAACTTCTTTGAGAGTTAAACAGCCGAAGCAGTGAAGGTATCCAAAAACCCTACCACAAATGGCTAGAGAAATCAGTGAATGATGGAAGACTGGCAACATATTCCACTGATCTGTTAAAGTTCACTAAAGGGATATAAATGGACACATCCAGAAGATGTTACATAACTTGCTATCCAAATAATTTGAAAAGAAAATGTGACACATAAAATGAATATGATACATACACACATTTATTATCATTTAATGCATGAAATAATTAATTATGACAAGGTTATCTGTAGAGAGCATAATGCTGTTGCTAGTAGCATTACCAACTATGCTAATGGCAGAAAAAAAACAACACTATTTGCTAGTCTCTTCAAAAGTTAAGGTCAAAGTCTCTGTTCGAAGTATCAGTATATAGAAACTGTGAAAGCTACAGGCAACAGTACTTAAAATATATAGAATAGCAACATTAATCATAACTAAAACTTATTATGTAGTATATTTTCCAATGCAAAATATTATCCCACTTCTTTACTTACAAAAAGAATTACAATAATTCCTTTTGGTATATACAAATATATTTTCTGAATTCATTGATGATACAAACAGTACACTAGGTTATACCATATAAATAAGCAGCACCAAGATCTATAATTAACTTTGTGTTAATTTGTAGTATATCCAGGAAATTAACAAAAGAAATAACAAGAGATAATACAATTCAGTGGAATACTGTCATACAAAATAATTTTTCCTATTTTCTTTATTATTCTGTTGTGTATTAGTCATGATTTACTATTAATGTTAATCTCCCAAAGAAATAAACTTTGGCAAATTTTGCTAGTTATAAAGTAAGAAAAGACATACTTTCTCACTCCCTTATAAGCATCACAGCTTTGGACCAATCAAAATAATTTGACTTAAACTAAATGTTTTATATTTTTTTTATATTAATATAGTATTATTCTAAACTGATCAGTAATTCTAGTAAGTGCAGTTTCACATAACAAGTGATATAAAAAACCATAAACTGATTTCATTCTAGCTACTTTTGTTCCTTTATCATTCTCTTGACCTAACACCTGTTTTGCCCAAGAGAGGAATGGCTATGATGCTGCACATTATGCAAAAATGTAAACATCAATGTTCTCCAATGGTAGGTCAGGTGATACATCCAGGTTATAACCTACCTTATATTTCAGTGAGATTGACCAACTGTGACACAGGTGGTGCACATGTTACGAGAACAGACCATTAAAGAATTTGGTATATAATACTATGATCTCTTTGTTAGCTCTCTTTCTCTCAAGCTCAAGCCCTGAGTTTAGTAAGTGAAAGATAACTTCATTCCTTAAATAGCAATATTCTGCTAGAGTTTAAGCTGTAATGTTATCTAGTTTTTTAATAAGCATCTTTATAGATTACTAGAAGAGTTTAGAGAAATAACTATCAAGTAACGGTACTGTCCTTTGTCCTGTATATATATTTTAATTGTTTTAAGTGAAATAAAGATTTGTTTTCACTGCATATGAAGATACTTGTACTTACCAGGTTTCCTTTCTACCCCACAACCAATTTGTTGGAAATCTTGCTGAAATTCCTTTTCTTTTTTCACATTCAAAACATCCTCTTTTGAGCCATCTAGTTCATCATCATCATCACTGAACTCAGAAATAATCTCACCTTGTTTTGAATTATCAGATTCATTAGTTTTTACCCTGACAAATATGTTCTGAAACAAATATCAATAAAACAATAACTAGTATCATCACTAAAGGAGACAATCAAATACATGTATAATCTCCATAGTCTACTTAACTTGAAACATGACAATATAAAAACTGGCATTTGAAAGCTGTGAAATTGCATCCCAAAAGTTTCTTCTAGAGATTTATTAACAGAAAGTTAACTTGAATAATAAACATTAATAATGTCAGATCTTTCTGTATTTTAAAAAATTTCCGTTATGTAGCATATATGACAATAGTTATTATGTTAACAGTATGAAGTCTAATAACATTTATGTTATGATGAAAAATATTCAAATAGTAGAAATTCAGGGTGCAAGGTAATCAAACACATCTCAACATTCACCCCCAGAAACCATTTATTCACCTATACAGCAATGTAAACCCAACAAAATAAACATTTAATATTTTAAGATAGATCTCCAATATTCCGATGAAAATAATAAACTTTGTCATCAGAGTTTAAATGAAATGATACTGTGGTAAAGGATGGTACTATGTGTTTTATACTCCATTAGCTAATATGCAAATGTTTTTGAAATTTCTTTATTTTTTTTTTTGAGTTTGGGCATTTTAACTTTGTCATATACTAGCAGAAATGCTGCCCTATGGGTGGCTGTTTGTGCTAGTAATTACTAATCATAGTATTCATACCTCATTGAAAAAATTTAGAAAAGTGAACATTTTCTAAAAAAGGATTTTTTACTGAGAAGTATTACACAGGAAAAGTGTTCAGATTGTGCTCTTTAGTCATACACAACTCATTGCATCAAAATGATTCAATGTAAAGGGTTCAAAATTTTAATACATTTTACTGATATAAAATGTAATGTTTTTATATAGTAAAATTGGTACTGTTTATTTAAAAAATATTTTTAAGAACTCCAGTTTCTCAGTGCTACATACAAAAATTACATCAAAAAGATATAATCAAACCTTCAAGCACAATCCCAGTGAAAGTCATTTTCTTGCTGTGAGGAGAGTATTTTTATATAAAATTGTGTTCTATTATAAAGAAATGGTTGTTGCATATACCAAAGTTATTTTTCCAATTGTCTAAATCTTGAATATCCAAAGTGTGAATTTTTTTTATGGATTTTTGTTTGTGGTGCCATTTGATAGATGGCACAGGAGTTTTGGTTACATACATAAATATTGACATACACACTATGTCCATTATAGTAAGAAGATATACATCTTAACTTTGTCTCTTGCTAACTTTGTATAGGACTTCCTCATCCACTTATTGACAGTTAGCATTTCTTCTTTCTTGCATGAAAGAATAGAAAGTTGTCTTTTCTCTCAGTAATTTGGGTAATGGCATGGTACTTTGCCATCCCCAGCACTCGAGCATGAATAGATGGAGGTCATGCACAGAATAGCATTTTGTGTTCAAACCTAGCTGGAGTTGTTACTAACTGTTTTGTATTAAAACCAGGATGTCCTATGATTAGGAAATTTCTAAGTATCAATTGAAAATACATTAAATGTTAACTTCTGATACAATACCTTACCTCATCTCACATATTAGATAGAATCCCACACTGAAGTGGTGGAGAGACCAGTGCAAAAGTTACCTAGAAAGTGCCTGAAGAAAACAAATGGAGCATGACACCCTATACCATGAAATTTCATGGGCACACCCATGGGAAACTGCATCCTTTTTGTACCAGGGCGAAGACATGTTGCCAAGTCAGGTGGAAAACAAGCAAGTCCAGAAACATAGTATGGAAAATGGATGTGTTTTACGGTATAGTATGACTAGAGTGCACCAGACTGTACATAGCTGGTCAACTCAAGTCTAAAAACAGGTGGCATTGTGTATGTTTCATCTGGTCTGTTGTAAGATGAGGGTCTCAACCCTCTTCACTTCCATATCAGGATGCAGAAGAGAAGAATAACTGCCATTCTAGGTAGTGCCCATGCATGATGACCCTGCATACATCCAACAGCAGGCCACCGAGGAACTCGAGATTCAGGTGATGGGAAAGCAAATGTGATGAGTCAACTTCAGTCCAAAACTAGGAGGCATCAGGAATTTTATGTTGGCTGGTCCTGCACCAGTCCAACATCAGATGGCCTGGGAACCAACATTCAGACAGCAACAGAATAGGGGAAAACCACCCAGAGGGGTGAAATGTATTTGGTGATTCATCTTCAGTCCAAACCAGGCACCATAGGGAATTTTTGGTTCATTCTGCAGTAGGAGGTGACTTCACACAATCTACATCAAAATAACACCACTGCCCTAATCTCTACTGTCCACCACCGCAGTGACTAATAACTGGTGAGTGGCAAGCACTCCTGTACTCTACTAAAAGAAGGGGGAAAAGTGTATTGGGGAGGTTGGAGGAACAGAATATCTTAAGAGTGTGCAATGAGTGACCACGAAATCCTATTTTTAAGAGCAGGCCAGTTCACGTTTATTCAACTAGGACCAGAGGGATGGGCAGTTATCCCAACACTGTATTACTCATGATAGTCCATGAGTAGGTATAGTCTGGATCAGGCCTTTTTTAGTAAATAATATATCAAGAATAAACCTCTAATGTTCTCGTGGAACACCCCATCTCATCAGTGAGCATTACATACCCAAATGGGTGCATGGGGCAAACTTAAACTTAAGTATATCTTGGCAGGCAACACATGCCACTCAGCAGATCCTGAGATGCAAAATAGGACCCCTTTAAAGGTAAGACAGATAGATAAAGAACTTACTTAGTTAGAGCTAGAATACGGTATGGAAAATTGTGATGGGGCAAGTGATATCAGGGTGAAGAAGAAACAGTCAGAGGAAGGAGATAATGTGTAGCAAAAGTATGCAGGGTAGTCCACATGCCAGCCTGTACAATCTCCTACAATGGATGACAGAAGTGAGAAGCTAGACAGAGAGAAAAGTATTGAATTTGATGAGAGGGGACCTGAAAAAGTGGACAAGAATCCCTGTCCAAAGAAGTATATGCTAGATGGATGAGCTGTCATAGCCAACCCATGAGAATAATGGGAGAAAGATCTCAGGTAGAACAGAAGTTTCAAGGGATAAAGAGATGGGGGCAGGAAATACAAAATTGGGTAGTATGGGCCAAATAACAGCAAACTGTCTGAATAGAACAGAAAGGATGATCAAGATCAGAATGAGAATAAGATGAGCAACAGATGGAAAGGAAATAGGGGTGTATGCTCTGTCCCCCTCCAGAGCCATAGGTGTTTTGGAAAGAAAAGCATGGTTAGAATAAGAAAGAATATAATAACGATGGAAAAGAATATGGGAAACATCTGTAGCATATGTCTGACCTCCTACAGCTGCATGCTAAATGGAGTGAGAACAAGAGGCTAACGCTCCAAAAGATGGAAGGATAGGGGCACTGAGAAGAACATTCAGGTCCCAATCAAAGAGAGCAGGGCAAAGAAGGCAAAAGGAATTAAAGAGAATAGAAGGGACTGGTGAGGAAAATACATAACCAGAATGGAAAAATTGGAAAGTATTCAAAAGTGCTACCCTGTAGCTAGCAATGGTTGAAAGCAATAAGCCTTGGTCAAACAGCCAGGTAAAAAACTTGGAAAGGTGGGAAAGATTGGGAAGAAGAGAAGCCACAATGCAGAGACTAACTATAGAAAATGTGCCATTTACACTGATATGCAAGGAAGGAGGAAGAACGAATTGAAAAGAAAGAAGGCTACATGTGAAGAAAGTATAGAGCTTCTTGCAAGGGACCAGACAAACTCCACACATGAAGACAGAGTGTGAATACCACTGGAGGTGAGAGGGGGGAACAAGGGAGGAGAGGACTGCAGAAGGTTCAATAGAGGAAACCATGGTTGAGCCATTGAATAGAAAGTATTTATGAGAACTCAACACAGAGTGGTCTGAAGAAGGTAGAGCACACAATAAATAGGAGGGTAGGTGTAAAGAAAAAGGTTGGACGAGTCATGATCAAATGCTTCCCAACCCAGAGCTGCAAGATGAGGAACAGGAGAAGGTTGGTGTTCAGTTGACTAGCAAATGCATCCAGAAGGGGGAATGCCCAGCCAAGAGCATAGCCATTTGAATACCAGAAAATCAAGAAACCAATCCATTAGTAGAATCTTTTCAGGAAGCAAGAGAAGATTGGCAACAAAATTTATACCCGAGATATGAGAAGCAATAAGACATACTTGTAATAAATGTGCCCAAAAAGGAGGTTTAGATTATGTGCCCCTTGATGATTGATATGAGAGACAAGAGTTGAATTGTCAGTATGGATCATTATGAGATATCCACAGACATTCGAAAGAAAATTATCCAAAACTTGACATACCACCAACAATTTTAACATAATGCTATGAAGGGTTAAGTCCTCACCAAAAATTTCTTGAGAGTCCAAATATGCCCTCCAAACCATCAGGGAGATGCATCTGTAAACAGAAGAAGATCTGAACTAGAAGGAGGAAGAGGAACATCTACTGAGGTATTGGCTTTGTCGAGCCATTAAAGTCGACTTTTAAGTAAGAAAGAAGGGGAATGGTGGAGGACAAGGGATTCTGAGTGAGGTTCCATTGATCATGCAGAGTCCACTGAAGGCAACACATATGAGCAATGACCGAAAGGGAAACAGAGTACATGGAAGCCAAAGTCCCCAAAAGAGAACCTCCCATGCAGTGAGAGTAGGAGAAAATATGGCTGTGGAAACAAAGCACTCTATGTCCCTCAAACAAAGAGAAGGCTGAGCCCTGCTGAGATGAAAATTGGAAAACATAACTGAATGAATGAAATATTGAATGGATGTGAGATGTAACTTCTTCAGTTTGACCAGCCATTCCAGATGTGCTGACTCCTGAAGAAGGAGAAGGGTATGGTCATGGGAGGCTTGTTGTGACAGAGCCAAAAAAGTCAGTTGTTCATATAATGGTGAAGCCGCAGTCCCAAGCCATGAATGTGATGAGGAAAAGCTCTCACCACCGATAGAAATGTATGAAGCCAACGCAAGGTCGAAGGGGAGAGCAT